AGATTGTATTTATTTGTTTATTTATTTGAGAGAGAGAGAGAGAGCAGGGGGAGGAGCAGAGGGAGAGGGACAAGCGGACTCCATGCTGAGTGTGGAGTCTGACACAGGGCTCAATTCTACAACCCTGAGATCACGACCTGAGCCAAAACCAAGAGTCGGACGCTTAACTGATGGAGCCACCCAGGTGCCCCCAGAGGGACTGATTTTTAAGTGGAGGATGATTTACTTGTTTTTAAATACGCGAAGTTTGATGTGACAGGAAGATACTCAAGTTAAAGATGTCCCAGCCTAAACCTTCTAGAATAGGGCTTTGGAAAAATATTGGATCTGGAATTATCTGGGTATCCCGGGCAAACGAAGTTGTAGGAAAGGGTGAGACCTTAGAAAAATGGCTTGGAGAGTAAAGGGTAAAGAGAACTGAGGACTGAATCTTCAGTAATGGATGAGCTCCACCCCAGACCTCTGCTCTCCACTCTCTCTCTTTAGACTCTTCAGGTGATCTCATCTGATTATAGAGCCAACTTGGCTAAATAAACATGTTCCCTACTTACACTCTTATAATTTAAATCTGCACTGATATGAATAGACATAAAGGTGCAAACAAAATAAAATATAGAGCAAATGCTTGAAGTAAACAATGGAACTGTGGTATGTACAAGCAAAGAAATGAGAACATTCCAGAGCTATGGTGAAGAGTTCTACGGGAAAATTAACTTCCTATCTTCTAGTTTGGGAAAACTTCTATCTAGATTCCTATTTATAGGAAAAAGAAGTTTTTGAAAGCTTTAGGAATCAGGTATAGTGTACTTGAGGGAGAGCTGTAAGTGTTGGATGTAGCTGAAAATAAGACTCAGAAAACAAATTTGAGTATTTCAGAACCAGAAGCCAAAAAAGTTCTCTGCGCATGTTCATATGCGCATTCCTTATTAAAAGGAATAAACTCACAAGTCAAGACAAAAATTGTGAAATAGTTTGAGTCGTGGTTGCAAAAGATTTTGAAGAGCATGAGTATCTTAGTGTAAAATATTCTTAGAAGTCCTAAAGAGAGAAACAGACATAGAGGCTAGGAAAATAGATTAAAAAAAAAAAAACTGAAGTTTTAAAATTTTAGTAGCAAAGTAAGGGAATGATAAGAGAGGAAAAATAGTGCTGACAGGTTGGCTGATATAAACTAAAGTTGAGGAACACATCTAGGATTCTTACTGCCTTTTAATAAAATGTGCAAAGGGGCATTCCTAAATGCAGTATTAAAAGCATATCGAGATATCTTGGTATGATGAATGGAGGAAGAAGTGGCTGGATTGGATGTAGATCAAAAAAATAAATGAATATCAGGAAATTGATAGGATAGTTGTATGCAGCACACTTTGACATTAGAAGTTGAAAGGAAGAGTTCTAGTACAGGGAGGTTCAAAGGCTGTGTTGAAAAATTACATAATGAGTTCAACTAGAGGCTATGAGAAAACTGCTGGGACCGTATGACCCTCACTCAAGTTCAAAGTCCAAAGCTATTTGTAAACCAGTCTATAACTTGTGACCTAAAATAGTCATAGTTCCAAGTTGTGGACCAAATAATAAAAAGTTAGCCTTCTTTTCAATAAACTAACCACCTGAGGAAAACATGCTTTAACTACTTTGTCTAAATGGGCTTAAAGTTAGATCCTTATTATGTTATCTTGGTTTATTTGGGAACCTCTTGATTCTAAATTCTGATTTTATTTTTTTTAAGATTTTATATATTCATTTCAGAGAGAGAGAGCGAGCACGAGCAGGGGGAGAAATAGAAGCAGACTCCCCACTGAGCAGGGAGCCAGACCTGGGGCTCAATCCCAAGACCCAGAGATCATGACCTGAGCCGAAGCAGATGCATAACTATCTGAGCCACCAAGGTGCCCCTAAATTCTCATTTTAAACTATAAAGTTACCTCCCTTCCCCAAAGAAGGCACCCAGAGCCACTTTAGTTTGGATGTATCTGTCAGTATGTGCTTGAGTTTGGGCCGGCACGGCAGTTGCTTTTTCATTCTGCACTGCTGTCACTGGAATTAACCAGTTTTATGTGTCCTTAGCTTCATTTCTCCATCCTCAGAAGCCTCCAGTTTAATAACTTCTGACCCGAACCATACTGAGATTGAACCAGAGGACAGACTGGGATTTTTGTTAAGGAATCCTACCCTCTACCCACAATTTTTAAAAAGTGTTACATAGTCCTGACTTTCACAGTTTCCACTCCTGGTTTTGTCCCTTGAAAAGGCTCTAATCTTGAGAAGGGGAGCAAGTGGGCTGGCAGTCAGAGGTATTATCTCACTTTTCATGGGCACCGCCCCTGGTGTGGGTCTGATTGAAGAGCCAAAACGAAACATGCAGGGTGCTCTGAAGGTCAACTGATCCCTTAGTTACAGGGTGATTCACGCCCTCCCTCTGGTCACTTGGCTCTACTGCGTCGTAAGACTGTCGAGCTCCAGATCTTTCTCCTACGATGACTACCCATCTCCTTCTCAAAAATTCCAATATGATTCATCTTGTTTGTATTCATTCATCTGGTTATCTCTTGTTTGTTATTTTTGAATCCAAAAAAAGTTACCAAAAGTATGAGGCAGGGTAAGAACTTAAAATTATTTGGCAAGCAATTAGAAAGAGCACCAAAAGGAATGATATAAAAAGGAGGATAAAAAATCAGTTTACTCTTAGAAACGGCAAAGATTTCATTGCATACAGTTCTTTTCAGAAGAAGAGGCTCTAGTTTCCAAAATACTGCATAAATTAACAGTAAGTCCAAACATCAGAAAATAGGATTTCTAGAACAAATGTTAGGCATATTTATTACCAATAACATAGAATAGGCATTCAATAAAATAACATTTTTAAGATTAATTTTCCATGTACATATAAACGAAATAAATCACACTGTTAAATATGTCCTCTTTAAGGTGTGAGTTTTATGCTTGCTCCTTTTTTATTTTCAAGGGCAAGAATCATTATGCCTATGAATATATTTCAATAATTAAAAAAAATTCACAAAGCAAAATTCTGTCTTCTAGTTAGGAAGAAAACACTCTACAGAGCTTTCCTGGGTTTGTAGTTGGTGCACTGGACTCAGCACTTATTTTGTGTAACATTGCTCAGTGGGGCATAGGACACTATAATTATAGCTTAATCATAGTAAAACTCTGAACCTTTTTATTAGTAAGATTCTTTCAGCAGTGAAGAGAACCTAGTGAAAGTGTGCCAAAGTAATTTCAGATTGTTGTATACTAAAATTTATGAGACTTGTAATAAAGTTTGTCTTTAAACATCATACACAAAATGTAGATATGATAATTGATACATATATGCATTGGCCTACAGCTTCCCTATATCCATATTTATCTATGAGTTTTTCTGAAAAAAATTGTGGTGGGAATGATTGTTTTTTGTTAAATTGTGGTAAAATGTATATAACATAAAACTTGTCATTTTAAGGACTGCTAAGTATACAGTTCAGTGGCATTAAGTATTTACACTGCTGTGCAACCATCACCATCTATCCCCACAACTTTTTCAACACCCCAAACAGAAACTCATTAAACCCATTAAACATGAACTCCCATTACCCAGATGCCCTAAGCCCTGGTAACGCCTAGTCTACTTTCTGCCTCTATGAACTTGATGCTTTCACATACCCCATATAAGTGGAATTATAGAAAATTTGTCCTCTTGTGTCTGGCTTATTTTACTGATCATAATATCCTCAAGGGGCATCCATGTTGTTGCATGTGTCAGAATTTCTTTCTGTTCATGGTTGAATAATATTCCACTGGATGTATACACCACATTTTGTTTATCCATTCATCCATTGATGGACACTTCCATCGTTTCCACTTTTTGGCTATTGTGAATAATGCTGATATGAACATTACTGTACAAATATCTGTTCAAGTCCTTACTTTCTTTTTTCTTTTTTTTTTTTAAGATTTTATTTATTTATTTGACAGAGAAAGACACAGCGAAGAGAAGGAACACAAGCAGGGGGAGTGTGAGAAGGAGAAGCAGGCTTCCCGCTGAGCAGGGAGCCCGATGCAGGGCTCAATCCCAGGACCCTGGGATCATGACCTGAGCCGAAGGCAGACGCTTGATGACTGAGCCACCCAGGCACCCCGCAAGTCCTTACTTTCAATCCTTTTGGGTAAATACCCAGAAGTGGAATTGCTGGATCATATGGTAATTGTATGTTTAATTTTTCTTAAGGAATCATCATCTATTTTCTGCAGTGGCTGCACCATTTTATATTTCCACCAGCAGTGCACAGGGTTCCAATTTCTCCACATCAAAATGATTCTTTTAAGAATAAAAATATCATTTTTGTTTTGTGATACAATTTCTGGTCTTATTTCTTCTCAATTTTCTTCTTTTTGTCACTTGCTTTTATAACTGAAATCAAAATCACAGGATTTATGATACAAGAGTCTGATTAGAAACCCTAATTCCAAGAACTCTACTGAGAGAGAAAGCGAAAGTTTAAAAAGCTAATTCACAGAACAGTCATATGAATTGGGGTCAGAGGGCAGATATTCCTCCCTAAAATCTGAATGTCATGCTACATCCTTAGAAGGTGATGGAAAATTTAAGTTACAAGAAGTGCACAAGGAAGACAAAAGCAAGCTCTGATGATAGCAAACTGAAGGAAAGTTATTTACAAATGAAGAAGGGACAGTGAAGTTTCACAGCTCAGATGGAGATAGAATTAAAGATAATCAGATAATGTGTACCTACATCTTCTGTAGCTTCCAACGGAGAGGTAATCAAGAGTTTAGGATTATTTTTCTGACATTTTCTTCAGACTGTTGTATAAATGCTGAATGATGACACTTTGTTTTAAAATATTATATGCATTTGTTTAGATGCAATTAAGAAATGTTTAAAGGATTGGAATTAAGTAAAACATTCAATGTTTGAAACAGGCCAGAATTAGAATCATCATTTTAGAATGAGGAATTAATCATCTACCAAAAAAATGATAGGATTCATAAAGCAATTTGTTTAATTAACATACAAAAACATAATATCTCAGGTTCACTATACTATGCCTGTCATGACACTTCATAAGATACTCATGTAGACAAACTCCAATGTTCCTAAATTTGTCGATACCATAATATTAAAAAGAGAATATTTTATGTGTATATTTAGCAACTTCATATGAAAATATATTCTCCTAAAGCATAATAATAATTTCTCCTTTATAAAATATAGTAATATAAATTTAGGAAAAAAACTGTCATTTTTATGATAAATCCAAATTTCTTTTTAAAGAGATAAAGGTAGCTGGGTTGAATTTCATCAAAATCAATGCAAAACAGAATTTCAGAATTACCATCTGGATATGAAGAAATAATGTGCCCATCTTTCAGAGTCATTTTAAATTATTCATATAGGATTTTGATTAGTTTAGCTACTATATGCACATTGAGACTATTTCCAAGTAGACGATAACGCTGTTTCACTGTTATCTTCTCAGGAAATCCTAGAAAAGAGAGATAATAATTTACAATACAATCATTTAAAATATTAACTTCCAGAGATAAAAGGATAATGTAACCTTTAGTAAGAACAGAGTGGTCATTCACATAAATAAGTCCCTAAGATCTCCATGAAATTCAATTAACAAATGAGAATTTGAAGCCAAAAATATAAGATTATATTGTCTACACAATGTGATATTATCATATCACATAACAGATTATGCTCAGTGTACACATAAGTGCACCCATAACATCCATGAAACTCATTGAAATCTGTATTTTAAAGCATTTTAGGAAAAGTAGTGGCTACCATTATTTCACAGTTGTTTTCCTTTACTTAACAGCTTTATGGAGATAAAGTTCACCCTTTTAAAATGTACAATTCAGTGGTTTTTAGAATAGTCAGAGTTTTGCATGCATCTCCACTATTCAATTCCAGAACATTTTTATTACCTCAAAAAGAAAGCTGGCCCACATCTAACATCATACTCAAAAATAAAAAGCTAAAAATTTTCCTCTAAGATCAGTAACAAGACAAGGATGCCCACTCTTGCCACTTTTATTCAACATAGTATTGGAAGTCTTACCCAGAGCAATTAGGCAAAGAAAGAGATCACAGGAATCCAAAGTGGAAAGGAAAAAGCAAAACTGTCACAATTTGCTGATGACATGATATTATATATATATAAACCCCCCAAAGACTCCACCAAAAAAAAACCTGTCAGAACTAATAAATGAATTCAGTGAAGTTTCAGGATACAAAATTAATATATAAAGATCTGTTGTGTTTCTAGACACTGACAACAAACTATCAGAAAGAGAAATTAAGAAAACAATCCCATTTACAACTCCATCAAAAAGAATAAAATACCTAGGAATAAATTTAATCAAGGAGGTAAAAGATCTGTACACTAAAAATTGTAAGGCACTGATAAAAGAAATGAAAGAAGACACAAATGGAAAGACAGTCTGTGCTCATGGGTTGGAAGAATTATTAGTAAAATGTCCACTATCCAAAGCAGTCTACATATTCAAGGCAATACCTATCAACATTCCAATGGCATTTTTGACAGAAGTGGAATACACAATCCTAGAATTCATACAGAATCACAAAGGACCTAAATAGCCAAAGCAATCTTGTGAAAGAACAAAGCTGGAAGTTCTGCTCTGATACACAAATATTAACTCAAAATGGATTAAAGACTAGAATGTAAGACCTGAAGCCATCAACTCCTAAAAGAAAACACAGGCAGTAAAGTAAGCTCCTTGACATCAGTCTTGGCAACAATTTTTTGGATCTGACTCCAAAACCAAAGGCAAAAAAAAAGTAAAAATAAACAAGTGGGACTACATCAAACTAAAAAGCTTTTGCACAACAAAGCAAAGAAAACCATCAACAAAATGAAAATGCAATCTACTGAATGGGAGAGAATATTTACAAATCATATATCTAATTAGGAGTTAATATGCAAAATATATTGAGGGACTATACATTGGTGCAGCCACTATGGAAAACAGTATGGTTTCCCAACAAATTAAAAATAGAACTATGATATGATCCAGTAATTTCACTTCTGGGTATTTATGAGGTAAAAATGAAAACACTAATTTGAAAAGATACATGCACCCCATGTTCATTGTATTATTTACAATAGCCAAGATATGAAAACAACCTACACACACACACACACACACACACACACACACACACACACACACACACACTGGAATACTATTCAATCATAAAAAAGAATGAAATCTTGCCATTTGCAACAATACAGATGGACCCTGAGGGCATTTATACTATGTGAAGTAAGTCAGAGAAAAAAGGACAAATTCACTTATATGTGGAATCTAAGAAGCAAAGCAACTTGATATACCAATACTCCCTCCTCTTTATAACTAAATAGTATTGTTTTGCATGGATATACCACATTTTATTTATCCATTTATCTGCGGATAAAACTGAGTTGTTTCTACTTTTTGATTATGAATGACGTTGTTATGAGCATTACATATACATTTTTGTGTGGACGTTTTCAGCTCTCTTGGATATATTCCTGGGGGTGAAAATGCTGATTCATACAGTAACTCCACATCTAACATTTGAGGAACTGCAAAACTGTTCTCCAAAGTAGCTGCACCATTTTATACTCGACCAGCAATGTCTAAGGGATCTGATTTCTCCACATCTTTGTCAACACTGTTATTGTTTGTCTTTTTGTGAAGTGGTAGCTTCTTGTGGTTTTGATTTACATTTCCCTAATAACTAATGACGAAGACATCTTTTCATGTGCTTATTGGCCATTTGTCTATCTTCTTTGGAAAATATCTATTCAAATCTTTTGCCCATTTTTAATTGAACTATTTTTCTTTTTATTGTTGAGTTGTGAGAATTCTTTACATATTTTGGATACAAGTTTCTCACAGTTGTTTTTTATATTCCATTTCCACAAATGTGCTTTTTCATATTGGACTTCCATTTGCTATACTGTTTTTCAAAACAAAATGGCCCACAGATACAAAATTTGCTAGGACAAAGCCTTGCAAATAGCAACATAAAAGACTGTCCATGAAGTATATACTATAATGTTAGTTACAATTTTCATATTCAGTATCCTTGACATAGCAATTAAAGGAAAATTTATATAATAAAATGAAGGAAATAATTAAAAAGTATTAAGAAAAGCAAATTACATATTTTGTGAGGACCAGAAGGAAGAGTTGATTATGATAAAGTTGCTTCATCAACACTTGACATTATACTTACTGCAATAAAATTAGTGATTACATAATAAAATTATATTTGCAATTGAGCAAGATCATAAAATTGCTATTATAAAGATACTATGTCTTGCAAGCACATTAGTCATCTAAAAAATTATTTCATTCAAATTAGAAAGAGATACAAATAGATCACAGACTTTTAGAATATTCCGGGATGACCTTTTGTAATATTGCGATTACATCTCAGGGTAAGAAAGGTTTGAAAGCAAACAAGTCAGATTTGTAAAAATTATATATATGTGTGGGTGCTTGTGTATTTTATGTACAGATATAACTTTTTAAATTAAAAGGTGACTTTTTAAAAACTTAGGTACATTAAAAATCATAATAATCTTCAAAAACAAAGAAAGGTAGCATTAACAAGGTCAAGATAGCAGCTTTCATTCTGTAAGTGTAGCTTAGTGGCCTCTTCCAAAGCCTGCTATCTCACGAATGCATGCCACTAGCCACAAAAAGAACCAGCACAAAATGTATGAAAGGATCAATGCAAATCCATCATTGACAGTGGACATGCAGCTCAAACAATGCCCATTCCAGATTCAGAGTCAATAATGCCCATAAGAAGGACAGTTCTGTCACAGTGCTGCTCAGTGGTGACATCAGTCAAATCTGATTATACAAATATATCACATATTTTAAAAGAAGGCTAAGCAATTAAAAAGTCTTTCTTGTATGTATTATACATATATTTTTCAGAGAGCTGTGAAAAATCCTCATTTACCTATGTAAAATTTTTAAATGATGAAAAAAACTACTTATGAAGTAAAGGCTATAAAAGCAAATAAATGTTCATCATTTAAAAATAAAAGCTGGGGCACCTGGGTGGCTTAGTCAGTTAAGCGTCTGCCTTTGGCTCAGGTCATTATCTCAGGGTCCTGGGATTGAGTCCTGCATCAGGCTCCCTGCTCTGCGTGGAGTCTGCTTCTCCCTCTGCCTCTACCCCTCCCCCCTACTCGTACTCACGTGCGCTCTCTCTCTCTCTCTCTCTCTCTCTCCCTCTCTATCGCTCTCTCTCTCACTCTCTCTCAAATAAATAAACAAGTAAATCTTTCAAAAAATAAAAATAAAAGCTGACATTTAAATTTTATATTGTGTGACAGCGTTGTAAACATTTTATATATGTTAACTCACCTAATGGTCACAACGACCCTGTGAAGTTGGTGTGATTACCCCCATTCTACAGAGGTGTAAACTAAAGCAGAGGGGTTAAGGTGCTGCTAGGATTCAAACTCACTCAGTCTGACTCTGGGGTCCATGCTAAGTGTCAGTATTTCTACAGTGACTACCACTGCTTAAAGAAATACACACTCAAAATGTAGGAATTAGTTATTAGATAGTAAATCTCTTCTCTAGTGCTATGGAAAGTACCTTTGATTGCTCATCCTAAAAGAGGAAAAAAAAAATAGTAAGCAAAAAGGCAGACTGGGAATTAAATTCCTGAGTCCAATTCTCAGCTCTTTATTTGTTTTATGATGTTCTCACTCATTTTGTGACATAGAGTAAGACAAGGGAAGTTTGTGTTTTTCTTAAATAACACTCCCCAGGATATTTGTGACTGAATGAGATCACCAAGAAAAAGGCAGAGAGTTACAAAATAAACCTGGTTGCTGTGACTACACTCAGAGAACCAAATACCAAGAGGACAGTCAAATTATAGTCAGTTTACTCCCAGTGTACAAAAGGATGTGTGCCAAAACCTCATCTGTAAATCCATTATTTAGAATTTAAAACATGATCTATTTAACCCATTATCTGCTTCAAAAATAGTACTGTATTAATATTACAATATTGGATTTAGAAAAATTTGGCTTTTCTGCATTCAAACCCCCAAGTTATCAAAAATACATTTCCTGTTTGCATAGTCCTGGAAGCACGTTAGGGAGGTCTGTCTTTGCCCAGTCACCACCAGCCAGGTACTGGCCACACACCTACCCCAGCCTACGAAACTGATGACATCAGGATCACGGAGAGCACAGGCGTCAGGAAGGAGAGATCAGGGATGGGGCAGGGTGCTCTACAAGGCAAGGGCCATGTGTCCAATCTCTTAATGGCAACAATCCCTAGATTTCCCCCACTGCAAAGGAGTTAGGACTGAGTCTTTCTCCATCTGCAACTGTATCTTCATTTTAGTTCTTGAGATTCCCTGCCTCAGACTCCATAATCTTTTGTCCATTCTGGCATCTGTGCTCTGAGTCACCCTCTCTTTCCATTAGGAAAACTTTCCTAGACCATCTCCCCACCTTCTCTTTTCTCCACTTATAGGAAGGAGAAAAGATGAATAACTGATAAGTATGTGTCTTTGAAGAAAATAAATACAAATACACTCACCACCAAAAAAATAAATTAATTCCTCAACTACCTTGTAATTTCCTCATAAAAAGGACAATTCTGGCATTCTTTCATAAGATCTAGTGTGGGGTTTTTAGAACAGGACTTATGGAATCAAGAAAATAAAGCTGGAGACAGACATGCTATTAATATCCATCTGTGGGGAGAGGTGACAAATTGCGGGTTTGGCTCTCCTTCCCTGAAAACCACTCGGGACCATTACTGGAGTGAAGGGAGAAAGCATTGAGGCTGAAGGGAATGGACTTAGGTTATGAACAAAAACAGAAAGAGGAGGAAGGAAAATGTCAAAAATGGCATGATCAGGAAAGGAAGACGTTTTCTTACATCCATCTTTCTGGTCAAGGGTTTATTCAAAAAATACATGAGTATGAGTCCCTATTGAACTCTAGGACCTTTAATAAACGAAAGCTGGGGTCTGCGTGTATTCCACATACCGAAATCTGAAGGAAATCCAAGGAGATTTGCTATTTCTTTAGGAGTGAAATATCGAAGTTTAAGCATTAACAATTTTGTTATCTTTTCTTCTTGTGACAAATTGGTAAGGGATTTGTAGATATCCTCAATCTGTAAGAAAACAGCCAAGATAACTGATAAAGTAGAGTGCAAGTAGATTTGTTAAGATAAGATCGTCTCTTGTGAGACACTTTAAAAAGGACGAACGTAGAGTGTGCTATGATACCCGGTAGCAAAATGCACGGGGTAGAATGTCTCTTGCAATGAACTCTATAATAGGTTGATCAATGGCAATATAAACTTTGAAAATGAAATGTCTGAAAATGAGAAGCTTGATGTTGAACAAATCAGGAAGCTTTGATCCCTCAATTAAATCATAAAAAATAAACAATGGCAATATGACATAAAAGAAGTGCAGTGAAAGATATGAAAAAGAAACCTGAACAACCAATGAAATCAACTTCACAATGCGAACAAGTAGATCATGAAAATGTTTACTGTTTGTGATCAATTTCATCAAATTATTTTCTTAAAATGATAAAATACATTTGGTAAATATAAATTCTCAAATCCATTTCCCTCTAATAGGATTTTTACCATGGGTAAATTTTACTAATGGTAAGAGTTTAATTCAGTATAAAAGGAGGTAACATGATTTCACTTCGAAATTATTCAAAAGTATAGAATATTTTTGCAGTATGTCAAGCTTATTTTCAACTACGGCGCCATGAAGAGTTTACAATTGAAGTATTAATAAAGAGCCTTGCTAAGATGTAGATTTCTTTCCCTAAAAGGCAGTTTTACAGTGTGTGATCCCAAAGGAATAGTAAGAGATTTGTGCATAATTTTAGAGAACATTAACTATTGTATGCTGCATTTCAATTTACTCCTTATGGAATAAAAAGAATACCAAAGGTGAGAATAAGAAAAGAGAAAGTGAAACAGAAAATATTCTTTGTACATAAACTCATCCAGCAACAAGAAACAAAAAGGTTTATTCTATAGTAAAGAATTATTATATATATTACATATATGAGTAATATGTCTATCCACTCCCAATTAAACATGTAAAATTATTTTAATATTCTCAAATTTTAAGTATTAAATAGGTTTATTTAAAATAATTTTCAAATATTTTAGTTCTAAAGCATATACAATACCTGCACATCCTCTGTCGTCTGTAACACAGATCCCGTCCCTTCTATATAGCTTCCATAACTGAAAGATTAACATGTGTATTAGGCAGCATCTAATGTTTTTGTTAATGTGAAATTCCTTAAATATTTCTTGAACGAATTAATCAATCTACATAGTTACATCCTTCTATAATAGTCTGAAACACATAAATATGCTCTGTAAGTGAAAAATTACTGGGTGAAAGACATAAGATCATTCTATTTAAACTTCTCAGACACTAAACTTGGCATAGTGTTTTGAATTGTGTAAAACCCACTTTGATCATGCATTATTAATTATCATTTCTTTGTATTAATTGTCAGTTTCTTAATGTTCATCACTAGAAAGCATGCACTTCTTAAGACTTTATATCCAAATGCTATTCAATATTGGCATCCCTGATACATTAAACCAAATGTTATTCAGGTGAAAATAAATTGCTACTATTTTTTATAATGACTGAACCATCACTTCTCCTCATGAACTGAAAATGAAAAGCCCACTCTCCAGTACTGTGACAAACACGGGCCCGCTGAACGTGCGTCTGCCTCCTACCGTGATGCAGTGTTTTCACTCCTCTTCATACAACAAAGAGACCATTGTATAAAAAACTGTATTAAAAGTATAAAAAGCTACAGAAATACAAGGTATTAGTAGTATTTCTTCCCCTAATATCACTGCCAAGCTAGCTGTTCCACATATTATCATAATTTCTTTTCCCAAAAAGATCAATTTAAAATATAAAGACACACCAGGGAAAAATACTTTTGTAAATCTGTTTTCTCATATGTGTGTGTGTGTGCCTGTTTATATTATCTACACTAAAATAGACTTTTCTAGTAAGGCTTCCTTTATACCATCTTTATAATTACAAAAGAATTTCAAGGTTGTTTTTTATTACCAAACTGATAAGTCTTGTCTTATCAGACTTGGAAACAGACAACAGTTGAGTAAAGTCTTTTAAGGCAATGGAAAGCAATAAACCAGTTGCCCTGGAAGTACAAGGGCAGAAGATGCAAAATCAGAATAAATCTGGTATGGTTGCATCGGGACACAGCATGCATGAAAACTAGTGGGTGAAAAGAGAAAGCCTGAAGTTTCAAATCATACAGTTACTCATCAAATGAGGTTGAGTGGCATTAACAAAGCAGAGATAGGGATCTTTTACAAAATTTTCTGGAAAGGTCTAACTTTCCCCTACTTTATAGGTTTAAAAAAATTTGATGAAAAACATATTAACATTCAAAAATAACCCAAAAGTAACCAATAAAAGACATTATGATATACCATGAAAATGGAAAAGTTCTTTATGTACTTATATGTAATAATATCCAATTTATATTGTAAAATGAAAAAAGTACATAATAACAGATACAGTATATTACCATTTACTTAAAAAGGGGGGTAAAATATACATGTATATTTAAATACACCCTCACACATAATACCTTCGGAAGATTAGACAGTAAATTGAAATCTCTGGTTGCATGTGGGCAGGAAAATTGGATGAGCAAGAGACAGACAGGGAAAGGAGTCTCACAGTCTTTGTACCTTTGAATTTTGAACCATAAAAATATATCACTTATTTAAAAAACTGAATAAAATTTAAATATGCTTTAACAGCCGCCAGATGATTTAACTTTATTTCTTGATATTAAAATTTAATTTCTTCTTATACATTGATCATGAGAGTGGACATAAATTTTTGAGGTCTGATGTGCCATGAAAAGAAAGGTGTTAAAAAGTAGCAATTCAGTATCTACAGAAACCATGTTTCCACCACGGGTAATTAAGCTCTTATGAAGGTCACCAAACAAACGGCATTGTGTTTTACGAGCACTTTTGTGGGTTGTGCACATAATGTTCTGCCAGAAGGAATTTTCACTTGTGCATTCTATTGAACACGAAAGCAGGCAATTAAGGGCAAAAAAAAAAAAAAAAAGAAAGAAAAGAAAGAAAAAGAAATCATTCTAGCAGAAACATTTTGTAAAATCCTCCTCGTTTTGAGAAGAACTGAAAGAAACAATAGTCATAAAAACCTGGCTATTTTGAATATCCCATTCTAAGAGCTTTTTAAAACCTACCCTTTGGTAAAGCATGTGGACCTTCTGCAAGTGGGCTTAACAATGTCTAACAAAAGAGCGTATCGCAGCAATGACTTTGGCGGTAAGAAATACTGATTCACGTCAATATCATCTTCAAGAAAATCTTTTAACATCTGCACAGAGAGATCACTGTCCTGGTGATGTTTCCGGTCAATTTCTTCTACAGTTTCAAGCTTAAATAGAATGGCCTCTTTTCCAGAACGTTGTCTGCTCTTATCAAAGCAAATACTAGGTTCAATTTTCTTTCTTTCAATTTTATTTTCTGTAACTATTGTATTTCTTTCTGGATGTTCAGATTCAATTTTGGGAAACTCCATCAGTACCTGGCATTAAGTGAAAATACACACCTGTTCAAAGCTTTATTAAAAATAAATGACAAATTAATAATGTCTAGTCAACATTATGCAAAAAATGTCTTTAGGCTTAGAGAGTTGTCATTAAAAGATAGAGGAATTGTGATTTACGTGTATGTATACAAGTTATTGCAAGGTCTTCATCACATAGCTATAGTGTCATCAGGCTACAACTGATTTATTTCATGGAGTTACTGATTGCTGTATAGGAAGTATGCGGAATATAGATACAGTATTATATTTAAAAAAGAAGTTTAGAAAGCAACATTAGTTAGGGAAAGAATAAGTCATGGGACTAAAAAGCACAGCATTTAAAAAAAAGAAAGAAAATAACATTTCCAGAAAATGTGTATTCAATCAAAGTTTGCTATACCCCTTCATAAAAAAGGAAAAACCGGAACATACCCATGATCTAAAGGAAAACTAGTAATTAAAAAAGGGAAAGCATTTTTCCCCCTGAAAGGTATTTCTACTCATGAGCCCCGTAGGAAAACCTTTTTCCTGCAAAACATGTAACCATGCATAATGAATGCCCTATGATGTAAAAGAAAAATAGTTCCAGGAATTTTTAATGCTGATGTCTTTGTTAATATAGTTTATATATTATTTTTGGAATTGACCACCATGGAAGGGGAGATGTATTGGTATTGTATGGCAGGGGATCCAAATGACACGACTGACCCCCATTAGACTTTTGAGTTTTTACCTGTGACTATTAAGGAGAGCTTCACTGAATCACTGAAACTCTGTTTTCCACAGCAATTTTGACAGAAAGATGTACAGTTGCTTGTTTAATTAGAGATCCTATCTACAGCAATTGAGCATTTTATTCTAGTTTGTACTAATCACTACGTTTTAATCAATTAAGGCTAAACAGCACTGACTTCAAAGAAAATGCAACCAATGTGTTAAAATACTGTTAAGCAATTGTTAAGATAGTATAACTGAATTTTATCAAAAATAATCAATGGCTTCTACTGGGGGGAAAATGACAGATACAAAATAGTCAATGGTCAAAAGGGAAATGAGAGGGAGAAAGAAGGTAACAGCACTGATGTTAGTTTTTTTAACTTTTAACTTATATTTTTTTCTAATAATGAAAGAAAAGTTTTGTCTTGTTTAAAACAATAAAAACAGCAACAGGAGAGGAAAAAGCCCTAGGAAATAGACCTAGGTCATGGTCTATATAGTAGGCTCAGGAGGAAACATATAAGCTTCCACAAAGTAGTTCTTGAAATAAATTAGCAGACTGAGATATACTTAAAATATAATAATAATAATAATAATAATAATAATAATAATAACAACAACAACAATACCTGACCAGGGACTTGAAAAGGTAATGGTTCTGACTGAAGCTTTGCAATAAGGAAATACCGGAGCCTTGAATTTGGAATGCCAAGCTGGAGTAAAGCAGAGCAGTTAGTTAATATAGGAAATTAAAGAGCTCTATATCAACTGTTGCACCTAACAAAAAACTCATACAGGTATGCATTTAGTTTCTGACAAAAAAAATTCTGTTATTGATATGTGGAAGACTTTTTTGTAGCAAATTCTTAAACCTTTTAAATTGGTGCTTTGTACTTTTATTTGAATGAACAGCAATTGAATCTGATGAGTCATATGTCTTTGAGTCACTTTCATTTTCTATTTCCCAGATAAGAAGTTATATAGACATTCTCACATTCATTATTAATAATAATCATAAAAAATAAAATTCAAATATACCTACTGGCTATTTATTGCCTCACTTTATTAAAAAAGGAGGATGCACTAAATTTTAAAGGTTAGGAGGCAATAAATATGAAATAAACTTAATGAGATCAGACATAATGCCAATTTCCATAGTACATGTACATCTAATTTTTGAAACAGGTTTTCTTTTAATTTCAGGGTAAATAACTGTATAATAGGCTAAAGATAATAACAGGCTAACAAACACAATGATAAAAGAAAAAATAGATAGTGATACTTGTAATATAAAAGATCTACCAAATATCATAACCACTTACTTCAATTTCATATTCATGAAATAGAAGCAATGTTTGCATTTTATCTTATTTTATTTTAATTCCAGTAGAGTTAACATACAGTGTTATGTTAGTTTCAGGCGTAGAATTTAGTTATTTGTCACTTACATACAATACCCAGTGCTCATCACCAGGGCACTCCTTAAGCCCCATTCCCTGTTTAACCCATCCCCCACCATACCCCCCTGTAACCGTCAGTTTGTTCTCTATAGTTCTTGATTTGTCTCTCTTTTTTCTCCTTTGCTCATCTGTTTTGTTTCTTAAACTCCACATATGAGTAAAATCATGATTTTTGTCTTTCTCTGGATGACCTATTTTGCTTAGCATTATACCCTCTAGCTCCATCCACGTCACTGCAAATGGCAGGATTTCATAGTGTTTGCATTTTTAATGGTATGTCCCAAAACAACTAATTAGAAAACTATCATATGTTCATTTTGTTTTCTATTTTGGATGATTTTGAAGCATTACCAAACTACAGAACACCTGATTTGGAAATACCAAAAGTCACAGATTTTCAAAACACATTATCCTTTATTTTCTGTGAAAAGAAATTTATATTCTCAGGACCCCTGGGTGGCATAGTCGGTTAAGCATCTGCCTTCGACTCAGGTCATGATCCCAGGGTCCCAGCCCCATGTCAGGCTCCCTGCTCACTGGGGAGCCTGCTTCTCCCTCTGCCTGCCCTCCCCCCTGCTTGTGCTCTCTCTCTCTGTCAAATAAATAAATAAAATCTTTAAAAAAAAACCAGAAAGAAATGTATATTCTCTCTTCAAGCTATATAATATTTCCCATAAAATATGTGTAAATAAATCTATATGCCTGTACAATATTCTTTAGAGAGTAAGACCCATGCCTGAACTAATTTCAAGATTTAAGTATAATATTATTCAAAACAGATCTATTCTTTTTATTGAGTCAAATTCCCTTTAGGAAAATTTATAGGAATGTTGATAATTGTGGTACCTACAGAGGTTGGAGATAATAGAAATTCTTGGTACTGAAAACCGCAATTTTCTAATGTTTGTATTAACAGGTCTCTGAAAAGAAAGAATAAGAGAAAAAAGAAAAACTTTCACCCTATAGTTGGAAATGGGGTTCTTATATAAAAAAATTATACATAAACTTCATTTTATGTGAAAACTGTTCCTCCACCGAAGTTGTTTAGAAAGTGAATGATCCTAGGTCATAATTATTAAGTCCAGTACTTGAGAAATTGCATTTCTCAAAAAAAGAGATGATTTCTATTATAAATAAATAAATAAAGCTGCCAGATAATTTATCCCAACTGGGGCTATATTCTATCCAGAGTTAGAATCACTAGTCTACTGATGATAAATCTGCTATTGGGATGAACTCTATCTGTAGCAAATCAGATGGGGGAGCACTGATCAGACAGCAGCCGGTTCGAGGACACAGATACTTTCTGGCTGGGCTACCATCTGAAAGGGCTCTGATCCAGGGCTTGCTTCTCCTAACTACGGGACAGAAAATGCTTATGAAGAGGAACATTTCTTACTGAGAATATTACTACTTCTAAAGAAATCGGCAACAATGTAAGCAGCTGAAATTGATGAATACCATTCTCATTAAAATATGTACTCATTCTGCAAAAATTCAAATATATCAAAATGGGAGAGAGTCAGGTAAACCTAACTTTGTGAAACTTTATATTATTAATTAGTCAAAATCAGTATTAATGGATAAAATATATAATATATATAAAATGTCAGGATGTATGGGTTTATTTTTAAGATTTTATTTCCAAATGGCTCTTACAATATACCAAGTCTACGATGAACACATCTTATATATTTTACCTTGTAGAAGATACTTCAAAGCCTTTAACATTTTCTAAAAGAATATATTTCGGTAATTTTTGTAATCTAAAACAAAACAAAAACAAATGGAATTCTAAACATGTCATTACTAAGAAGTAAGAAGTAAAGAAAATCCTTACTTGTGGGAGATTTGAGGTAAGTAATTTTCTGAACTCTCTCTTTTTATAAAAGGACTTTATAGAGGCTAGAGACAACTTATATTTTATTCATTTTCCCCATAAAAATGGCATAGCTAATGAAGTTAACATTTGAAATGTTATTTTCCATTGAACTTTATCAGAAAATATGGGTTCACACAGAGGCTCTGAACTGCACAACTCAAAGGGCTGCCATTTATATAGGATGGCAGCTTCTAGGGTTAGCACAAGTTTCCAGGCTTTGGGCAACAGCATTCACTAACATTAGCATCATTAATACTGTAAGGAGAGGCAGTAGAATTTAGCTATTAGACTGTAATTCCCTGTCACTCACTATAGTGGCAACCGCGGAATGGCAAACATTTGCAGTTATTCTATCAGTCATGGCAGAAGAAGATAAATGACATGCTCAGTATCTGAAAGCTGCATGTATAAGCTGCTAATTGCTATAAAATGACAAATATTACATTCTTCCAGATCCAAAGTTTTAAATTTAAGGGAAGCTTGTACAAAAAAATCTAAGTTTTTACCTTGGGAGAATACCTAGAACATATAAGAGGCTATTCGTCCTTGGATCAGTCACATCACCTTGCAGGCCAATTCTAAAGGATAAAAAAAGGTACAAATAAAATTCACCAAGAATCTTCCTTACAGAAAGATACCAAATCACTTTTAAAACATCAAAACTGAGAGAAGTGAAATTAGTTGGTCTTCACAAAAAATATGATCATCTTTGTTGCTATAGAGAACAAAATGTATTTATTCACTTAATAAAAATGAAAAAACACTTGCCTATCTAATAAGTATGCTTATTATAAAACAATATGCCAAATGACTTACATGAGGCAAAGAAGAACAAATAGTCAATAGAGACTAAAATCAATTACTCTCTTAAAATCACTTTGTTTAGGAAAGACACACAAACACACATACACACAACTGGTTGATGACACCTTTTGCTCTGTCCCAGATGAGACAACAAAAGTTCAGATGAATGAGCTGGTTGGGCAGGGTGGCAACACAGAGTAATGACACTGATAACTAATTACCATCTAAGCAGACCACAGTAGGTAAGACTAAGACAATTTTGTCCAATGTAAAAGTAGAGACTTAACCTGAATGCTTGATTCTACAAGCAGCAGTTACAACTTGGTTAGACTAACTAGGTCAGAACAGGACATGTAAACAGGCAGTATTTCTGTATTTGGACTAGCAATTAGATCTTACAAGTAAGATTCAATGTGATCAAGAATCAAGCAGAAATGAAGACTTGGATTGGGCCTGGGTAGTAGGAACAGAGGACCAGGGTTTAAGACTTGGGTACTTACTAGCTTCATTGCCTAAGATGAGTTACTTGACATCACTTGTCAGTTCCCTCATACCTTCCAGCAGGGCCAGAACCATCTGTGGATCTGAGGCTCACATAGACACTTAGAGTGGGCTTGAAGAGATACCTCAGAAATCTTGGGTTCTTCTCACTGTGTCCCTTTCCTCTCGGTGTTGCAATGATGACAGTATTACAGAATCAGTTACTGCTGCCATCAGCAGCTGGACTTCGGCTGCTGGTAGTAGGGAAGACACAGCAGGCCCCACGCAGTAATGGATGAGGCTACACGGTGCTGGGGCTGCATTCTGTTCTGTACGTCCTACTTACTGTAGTTAAACAGGCCATATGCTTGCATATGTTTGGAGGCATCTTCACATGGAATGCTCTCTGCTTTCAGACACAGTTCAGATACTGCCTCTCAAAGAACTCCTGTGTCCTGGCATGCAGCAAGCCACTTTCTCCTCTGTGCTCTCATGGCACTTCCAGCATTCATTTATTATATAACTTATACCACATTATATGATAATTATTTGTCAGTCATTCCCTTAAACTATAAGCTCCTTGAGGATGGGAACTACAGTATCAAAAGCAATGCCTGGCTTATAAGTGCACAATAAATCTTTGGGAAATTAATTTCCTAGAGAGTTGTTTAAATAAAGCAAAACTTAAATGGAAATTAAGCATGAGAATATTCATTTAAATTAGAATATTTATTACATGTGATACCCCACTTAAAATCATCTTATACATTTAAGTAGGAATGTATAAAATAATTGATAAATCCTGGCTCTAACATTTTCTAATTGTATGGCCTTAAAAATATTAACACTTATCCCATAGGCTTGTTAAATTAAATGGCATACTCCATGTAAGACAGAGGATTGTTACGATTATTTAAAATAATTAAAAATATCTAAATGAAGATGGATTAGTCAAGATTTCACCTAAGATATAATTCACTGAAACACACAGCCAAATAAATACTACATAATAAAAAAATGAATTGCAAAATAGCTATAAAAAGTCAGAAATACTCGATGTACATATGAATTCTGAGAAACATAAAATTCACAAACGCATTCTTGATTAGCTTTTAAATTTTACAGTTAAGTAATTTAGGAATTTAGTATTATGAAAATTTACTAATCAGTTAAAAAGATAACTCCTGAATACTCATTAGTTTAATTAATCTGAGGTAACTTAGGCCAGAAATAAATATTGTATCTTAGGTAGGTATAAAAGAGGTCCCATACAGTCTCTGCATATCTTTTATTGACCCAACTGCTTTGCTCATTTGGTAGTAATTGCTATTTCCTTTATGATTAAAGCTGAATTATAAATATGAGTAAAGGGAATTATTTATGAAAATTTTCAAAATTATGAAAATGCAGCTAATAGTCTTCAAAGTGTCCATGCTTGAAACTATGGTTTAATTCCCTCGAAAGTACTCTTCCTCAACAGAGAAATATTTATTATACATACCTGGTGAATGGTTGACAGGGAGGGCTCATTAAAATCATATTGAAAGACAATTTGTCAAACTCCTCTAGCGTAATGCCCTAAGGAATGAACATTTGGGGGAAAAATATAAAAAGATGCATAGAATAGGGAAGAAGGAAAAATGCTAATTGTAACTGAATATATCAGAAATTATAACCCTTAATAGTTTCATTTATAATACTCAAAACTTTATATAAACACTTAACAAATTAACTTCAGTTAAACTAACTTTCCAAAGCAATCTTACAAAGGAAGTTGGAGAAGTAAATCAAAGCTATGAAAAACTAAGTGACTTCCCCCAAGACTCAGAGCTGGCCAAAGCAGAGCAGGAATGCTAATTTCCTGAATCCTAAGTGTTTCACGCCTCTGTGACACCTCAAGTCTAACACCACTGTGTTTCTGGCGTCAAACATAGAGAACTTCGTTTTATAATTAATGAATTTTTAGCATAGGACCTAAGAAAAAATTTTAACACCTCTCTATCAATAATATTTTTTATTTAGGAAATGTGATATACTGACCAGTCACCATCCCTTCCATGTAGGTCTCTGTTAAAATATCACCAAATGAAAAAAGGTCCTGTTTTCAGATATCCACAATAATTATACTGTTTTACAGTTGTGTGTAGTCAAAAAACTTCCAAAGGTAACAGATAAGATTAATCAATATAATTCCTACTGGGCTAAGCAGTTGAAAAATATGCTATTTTGCTTCTCTTTTATATATCAGAAGATAAATACAGTACAGTGGTCCTTCCCTTATGTGTGGTCTCACTTCCCGGTTTCAGTCAACCCCAGCCAATCAGGGTCCAGAAACAAATGACCCTCCTTCTGACTTATGGTCAGATCCTCCGTAGTCTAACCCTAACATCACCATGCTTACGTCATTCACCTCACCTCATCTCATCATGTAGGCATCTTGTCATCTTACACTACCACAATAAGAAGGGTGAGTGCAATATATTTTGAGAGAGAGAGACTGCAATCACAACACTTTTACTAAGGTATATTGTTACAATTGTTCTATTTTATCATGATTGTTAATCTCTTACTGTGCCTAATTTATAAACTGCCTTTATCATAGGTATGTATGTACAGGAATAAACATGGTATATACACAGAATTCGGTACCAACTGAGGGTTCAGGCATCCACTGGGGGCCCTGGAATGTAGTCCCACGTGGATAAGGGGGTCTGCTGTACACAGAAACAAGTCATGGGTTTTCCAATTCTCATTAAGCACTCTTAGTATAAATCCTTAGCCAGAAACAAGCAACCAGACTAGAATCACAACTTTCCTAATTATGACACATTTTTAAGAAGTTCAATGACATGAATAAGGCAGGACAAGCTTTATTCTGAGTTCTGTAAAGAGTGAATTAACCTGGGGAACACATCGGTTGTCTCTGTTGTATTAAAAGTTTGAATGTATGTGTCTATCATTTTTAAATCACAGGCTTTGAAGTAGTTTAAGGTGTGTATGTAACCTAAGAACAAAATAAAATATTGAAAAGTTCCTACTGCACCTCTGAATCCCTGGGTTCTCAGGAAAACAATGTGAAAATCATGCACTGACCAGTCTTGTCAGAAAACATGGGGCAAAGCAGTACAATCAGACAGCACATCCTACCAAGTTAGAGAGCCTGTCAGCACAGGGCTATTGTGATAAGCAACTTACTGATGTCCTAACTGAATATGGATTGATTAAAGCTACATTTCTAAAACTAAAGTAAAAACAAAACAATGATCTTTTACATCGGGAGCATCCTATGTCTAGAATCTGAAGGAAGTAAACAGTTACTGCCTCCAATACAGGTTGGCATAAAAAATAACAATTTTAAAGGATTCTTCAAAATAGTGATTTTTTAAAAAATCAAATGATAGGGCAGTTATGCAAGAAATAATTAGTCAAACCATTCACAACTTTATTTAACCTGGCATTGGAAGGCATTAAAATGTGTTGAAATTCAAGAAAGTAGTTACGGAGATACACAAGTTATCTTTAATAAGTTGGTATTTGCAACCTAACAAAAATCTATTCTTTTTTGATAACCTGGCCATACAAGTCATAAAAACACCTTTGCTTTCAGAGAACATTAGGTCAGCTCAGTGTGGTAGCACTGTTCATCACATGTTGATGAGCAGTTTTATTGGTCTTCTTACTAGCTTTATTACTTGTTTTTGCAGAAAGTCTCCTGGCTATGCTTATACGTAATTGTCATTTAAACTTTAGGAAAAACTTGGCAGGTTAGAAAACAACTTTTGACAATTTTGGTAAATTTTAGTTAATCTAAAGAGAACTGACATTTGTACCATATTCAGTCATACTTCCAATTTTCAAGTATCTTTTATTCCACATGGGTCATGCAGATTTCTTGTTACTTATTTCTCAGTGTTTGTAAGTTTCTTGTTACTACTATACATAGAAACTTTCTTCTATTATATTTTCTAACAGGCCTTTGTTTGCATATATAGTAAGCTACTGGTTATCATATTTTTGTAAACAGCGTCCTTAAATGCACTAGTTGTTCCTCACACTATTTTTAGGACAGTACGTTGTTTGTTTTCCAGGCCTATACAATTATTCTTTAGAATCCTCCTTAATATTTATATGCTATTTCTCCTGCATGAGTACTTTACCTAACAGTCCACAACAACATTAAATAACAGTGCCAAAGGTAGACATCCTTGTTTTATTCATTATTTTAGTGAGAATGTTTTTCAAGTTTTACCATGTAGCATGCTACTGGAGTGGGAGATATATGTGCATGTTTGTG